TATGTATACGAAGGTTAGAGAAAGTCTGGTACCAGTGAGGTTCAAACCCACAGCTCCGGATCGGACCTAGCACTATCTTAAGGGAGAAGTGAACCACCATTTCTCCAATTTATATCCGCGCCTCACGATACAGATACATAGATGCATCTAACAGAATAATTGTAACAACGCCTGAATTTCTTTGCACAAAATATTGAGGTAGCGCTTATTAAAAAATCATTGTTGAGATGGTTTTTCTACCATTTGACTACTTTCTGTCATGTCAAGCTCATCCCTTCATAAAGCCACTCTTATAAATCCGGTATTCCGTATACCATGAAATGTTCATCGTAGTGTATGACTGGACTGTCTTACAAAATTCTTGTACTGACACATTACTACTGTCATCATCTTTACGCATGCACACGGTATGCACAGAATTTTGAAAGTAATATTTAGCAAGGTTGATACCTTTGGTTATCTTTGCGAAAATGTTGAAAGGGTCAAGATCTTTAATATCTTCTAACAGCAAAAATCCAAGCTATGAATTTTATAGCAAGCGCTGTAGCTACGTCATCCATTGTTCATTGAATAATGCAATAACCATTATATTAACGTTTTGTATCTATAAAATGTATAAACACTACGACCATGATGTTTATAAAGAATCATCGTATTCCACGGCAGCTAAAATTAGCAAAAATAGGTAATTAATGTACATTTTGCCATGACCGTTGTACACAGACAAAGCAAGGTAAAGTCAGTTGACTCGTTTGCACGTTTTTGTATTACAACTTATTATCATGGGGCTTTCTCTTATATCCTTTTAAAATCCTAGATGAGGTGATTCATTATAATCGAATAGTCTGTGGACTATAATTACCTCCATTATCCTTCTACAATGCAGAAAGAAGACAGCTTGCTGCAAGGTTGCGTAGCGATTACCATGCTTTACAAACGAAAATTCTCTTAAAAACCAGATCAATACATTAATAGTTATAGAGGGTATGGTGCGGGCAATCTGGCGGAATGTATAGTTAATATTTCATGGAAAATTATAAGGGGAAGTTTGTTCAAACCGTGTCGGAAGGAATACTCTATAAGAATATGGGTTGTGTCAGGAAAAAAGTCTAACATCTATCTTTTTGAAATAAGACACATACTGCGAAAATGAAAACTGCAAGCTATCTATTTAACCGTATACTCTTAATAGAGTATCTCGTATTTGACAGCTTTCGTTCTTTGTCCACCGATACCAAGCCAACATCATGCTGAAGAGTGACCAAATAGCACGAAACATCTGTGTATGGCTCGCCGTCTGTGGTCAGATAAATGAAAGTTATATTTCTAATCCATTTTTTATTAGAGAAAAGATGCATAAAGATCATTGTTATTTTTTAATATAGATATTTTGCAACTTGGTACTTTTCTCCGATTTTAAAATATCTACGGAACATATCTTAGAACACTTAATTCGGACAGCAGATTTTTTATCTTATTGCTAAAGAACTGGAAATAATGAATCAATTTTGTATGTTTTCTTCTGACCTAAACATAATAAATTTCAAATGAAAATATTTTCACGTTTTTGTTTCGTTGGTGTTACACCTACAAATCTGTTATACGGATCAGGTTGTTAGTACAGTAAGTGTTTATTCTGTTAAGAAGATTATACCTATACAATTTCATGGTAATGGAATATTTTATGCTCTTAAAAATGTGGAACACAGTGAACATAAGTTTTGCAGTAAACTAACTTCTTTCTGCAGCTGTTGTTATCAAATGAAAGCATTTCTAAGATATTTCTTCTAGTTATGATAAAGGAAGGCAGGATGGAATGATTTTCGCTTTCCGAAGAAAAACGTCACTGGCTATTCTTCATAATCATTTAATATACTACTCGTATATGTTCAGGTGGTAAAAAATGATATATGACAAAATATAGTTACAGTGAGGTGGTAGAATCAGTAAGGATGCGTATATGCATCGATTGATGAATCTGTATTAATTTGAAAGAATTGCTATCCATATACTATTCTCGCAATGACAGTCCACATTTTATCATCAAATCGTAATAAACTCAATTTTCGCTCCATTACCTTACTTAAAAGGCAAGAATAAAATTGAAAAGAGATAATCCTTCGTTACCGATTTATTTTTACCCCTCATATTGTGCACTTCAATAATAAAAATGTCATTGTAATATTTTTTGTCAACGCATATACGCATATTTATCAATAGACCATAGTGTAACCACGTTTTACCAAGTGTTACCTTTTGGACACCTGAATATATATCATTTGCTATATAAGTTTAATAAATACATAACTAATGGTGTGTTTTTGAAAAATGAAATTATTTTCCCCTGCAGTTCCCCCTCACACCTAGATCTGCATGAAAAACATATCTATATCTCCGCACAACGGTCTGCGCTGAGTGCACTCAAACTCGCTCAGCTATGCGCTGCCAGAATACACCCGCTCATCTCTGGCCAGACGCGATCAGCGATCAAACTGTTCAGTTATGGTTTATCCAAAGGCATCCCCTCGCCTGTGCTCTTTTCGGGAGGAACAGCTCACAGACAAGGTTTATAGGAGACAGTTATGAAAAATTATCTTGGCGAGACAATTGGATGTTACCTTGCAATCAAGTGCTCTAAGTACTTTTGTGATGTTTTTCAGATTTTATTCATTTTCAGGGAATGTGTTTAAAAGTGAATCGTAAATTGATGTTTTTTCTGGCAACGTCGCCCAATACCAATTCGTAGTTTGTACTGTTTTCTGCTGTAAGCTCACCACAGACTGGATACATTCCAACAGTCTGTAACTGCAGTGGCTTAGTGTCTTCCTGCATCTTCAACGTAGTAAATATTGTTAGCTGACGGTGTTAAATAAGATATTTCGCTTAAAAAATGGTAAAGCAAATGGTAGAGAACACTAATAAAATTATTATTATTATTATTATTATTATTATTATTATTATTATTATTGAGATGAGCAGAGTACACAGTACTATAAGCTCATGCAGTAAATATAGTGTACGGATACGTAACACAAATAGAAAAAAATAAAAAAAATACAGTTCATAGCTATAAAGTTTGTACACTCCTCCAGCTATCATACTGCACTTTGAAGCTATTAACTGAAGTAGCACCAACCACACTTTCAGGTAAACTATTCCAGGTGTTGAGTATGCGGTTGGGAAGAAACCACTGTCGGACTGTTGTTTTAAATGGCTCCTTATGCAGTTTGAAGCTGTGTCCGCGTAGATTGCTGCGCGACAGATGGTATAGATGCATGAGGTTGGTGCCCATCAAACCATGAAGTATCCTGAACGTAACTATAAGATCGCCACGAAGTCTTCGCTCAGAGAAAGAGGTCAGGTTGAATAATTCAAGGCGATCTTCATAGCTTGGTCTTCGTGCTCCAAAAGGGATACGAGTAGCCCGACGCTGTACTGATTCGACGAGATTTCTATCGCGCAGAAGCACAGTGTCCCATACCGGGCCAGCGAATTCAAGAATTGGTCTCACGAATGCCTTGTAAATGTAGGCGCAAGTGTTGACATCGGATCCTTTGAAAGACCTCTCCAGCATATATAGAAGTTTCTTGGCTTTTGATGTAACGTGGTGAATATGCTCTGACCAGGAAAGACGATCGTTGACTACAACGCCCAGATCAGTGTGTCTCGAAACTGCTTCGATGTTGTGGTCAGAGATCTTGTATGTAAATCGCGGATTTGTCTTCCCGAGGTGAAGGACACAACACTTAGTTAGATTTAAGGGTAAAAAAAAAATTACTGACCATTGACAAACAATATCAAGATCTCGTTGAAGCATAGCAGAATTTACGACAGTATTGTAAATCTTGGTGTCGTCGGCATAAGCTGAACATGTGGAGGAAATCAATGCGGGCAGGTCACTTGTATACAGAAGGAACAGCACTGGCCCCAAGACAGAGCCTTGAGGAACTCCACTTGCTACATGATGAAGGTGAGACTGGCTATCACTGACGCGCACAGAGAAAGTCCTCCCGGTGAGAAAAGCCTTAATCCACAGTAACAACTCGCCTCTTATTCCCATACATTCCAACTTAAACAGAAGCCTTCTATGTGGTACGCGATCGAAAGCCCTAGAAAAATCTAAGTAGATTATATCAACAGGAATCTTTGTGTCCAGATACTAAGTCCAATTGTTGAGAGAGTGGAGAAGGTTGGTCATTATTGATCGACCAGGGAGAAATCCATGCTGATTCTTAGGGATAAGGTCATTTTCGAAAGCAAATGGCTGGAGCTTATCTAATATGATTCTTTCAGCTATTTTGGCGGCGATAGGAACGAGACTTATTGGTCGATAATTTTTAGCGGAGGATTTGTCGCCCTTTCTGAATACAGGGGTAACAGAAGCACTAAGCCAGCATGAGGGTAGGGTATGAGATCTAAAAGACGATGTGAATATCAAGATTAATGGTAGGGCCAGTGCTGAAGCGCAGTTTTTAAGTACAGCAGCCGTCATCCCATCTTTACCAGGGGAGGAAGAGGTCTTCAGATTTCGCAGGTGCATTAATACATCTTCAGGCAGGAACTCAACTTCGCAAAGGCTGTTGGGACACCTATCGCAGATAGTGGTCGGTAGAAGGTCTCCATTAGGCTCATCGACGAAGTCATCACTAAAGGACTCTGCCAGTAAGTTGGCAGATTCGGGGGCATCCATGTGGAGATGACCGTCAGCGTCGCGGATCTGAGGTGATGAAACTTTGGAATTCAGGTTTGTTCTTAGATATCGAAACAGCTTCTTCTTATTTTTGGAGGTAACGAGTTTTCGTTCATAAGCATGTTTGGCATTATGTAACGTTCTAGATAGGAGGTTAGAAAAGGATCACCACCAATATTCGCGGTGCTGTAGATCGAGGTTCGATGTGAGATTTACAACGCTGTAGCGACATTACGGAATCACAAGTTTTTTCTGTGGATAGCCAATAATGTGTCCCTAACATAATCTTTTACGAAGTGATGCCATTTTTTCTCTTGTTTCAGAACGCAAGTTGTTCGTCGGCATGCTGAGCAAGAAGCTGTGCGAGAACGACGTCCGGGCGTTGTTCGCAGGCCATGGCGCGATCGAGGAATGCACTGTGCTCCGGGACGCGGCGGGAAACTCGCGGGGATGCGCGTTCGTCACCTTTGCCAGCAAGCAAAGTGCGTTGGGGGCCATCAAGTCACTGCACCAGAGCCAGACCATGGAGGGGTGCTCGGCCCCGCTGGTGGTCAAGTTCGCCGATACGCAGAAGGAGAAGGAACTCAAACGGCAGCAACTGGTTAGTTCCCAAGCTTTTCATGTCTTTTTTCGGGTTTTGGGAGGTCTCATTGAAACTACCTGTATCACTTATACAGGGTGTCCCAATATTCCGTGGACCTGAAAGTACCACGAATTTTTACAGCCACAATAAGTCAGTACGACATGATTTACTTCTATTGCAGAAGTGCTTCGTTTGTGCGTCAGAAGGCGTCAAAGTTTTTTTCTTTAAAAACCATTTTTTGATGTTTTAAGAACACAAACATAATCTCATTTGACTGAATCGTGTATTTTGCTAGACATCCTAATATTTGACTTTTACAAAAAAAAAATGAAAGGGTTGGACTTTCCCGTCGACTCTGAATTTTTTTTTATTTTAAAGATAATTTTACTTACTTAATTTTTTGTACCTCTTATAAAGACAGGCACATAGTTTTCGAGGAAACAAAATTTAATAGTACTTATTACAATTTTATTTCATACAGCCAATTGTGTGAATCCATCATAAAAGGTGTTCAATATGACCACCATTTTCATTCCTATACATAACAGTACGTAGCAATAAATTTTGAGCGTGTATATTTTTATCTCCCTCACACTTGCAACCTATATGTATTTTCTACGTTCTCTTTGTCATACGACTTAAGTAAGCAGAAGCTTATCTTTCGTATGTCAAACTGCATAATGTGCGAACCAATCCTCACTTCAGCTGCAGACCGTAAATTGAGTTATAAATGCGGCACCGCTGCTCTCATTCACTTTCCTAATATTCTCCAATAAAGGGGATTCCTTGTGGCAAATAACTCCCGGTCAACTTGGTTTAAATTTTAGTATGTTGTTTGTTGTTCAGACGAATCTAATCAAAAGTCCCTCTCGCACTATGGTCCTAATACCAATGGTTTTTAAGTTGCATACTGTTCAGGCTTAACAAAGTCGAAAAAGATTTGATCTTACGACATACACCAACATGATCTTATGATTTCTTTGCCCATTGATTAGAAACATAGTATCTCTTATAATGTTAACTTGACCCATCTACTGGGTGTCCGTCGATTTTCAGACACAGTTTTAGATGGTATCATATAATTACAATTCGCATGGAAAATAAATTCCGTCTAAATTCGCTGACATTTTAGTATGCTATCGTGATATCATTTTGATCAAAACCCTCTATGAGCAGAAGGCTCGAGTATCATGTTAAGGATATGCAAGTTATCAAATATTGTTTGAAAGTAGCTCCCGTTCTAATTGGCTAGAATTCTACTATGTTATTCTTCATACTTCATTGAGCATAAGGTGCTGATAAACGGTTTTCAAGGTTTGAGATACACAAGTTTAGCAAGTTCTTAGAAACGAATCCACAAGGAACGCCGGCGTGACCCTATGGTCTCTTTGAGTGTTGATTAGAAAAGTAGTAAATACCCACCATCCTCTAGACTCTGGCTTGTTTTCAGCCACATTATTTAAGAAATATGGAAGTGTAAAATTGCTTCTCGTGTAATTAGCTGAATTTAAACACGTGGAAGATCCTAGTATTACTGTTACTATGTTTACCCTGTATACTCAAATTATGCTCGTTCTTGTTTCAGTAGCATAAAATTCTGGACAAAAGTATAAAATTGTATTTTTGATCTAAACTGAAATTAGTCGTGAATCCTCTAACCCCATGAAACTATAAACTGTAGTACAATTCTACGTATTCCAGATCTATATGTATCACTTATCCTCAATGTATATACGTATACACTAAAACTGTGATTAAGTAAATTTAAGCACCTCAATAGCATACCAGTAATATAACCATCATTGCCAAGTATTGAACCCTGGTGAATTTATAATCGCTGATTTAAGGCCTATTCATACTCTGCCGTGACGTGACAGTGCTGTAACCGACACGTGATCCGCCCGGAGAAACTAAAAAGATTCTCCCTGGAATTTGGATGAACTGATTCACACTAGACCGACACGTGGAAGTGACCGTGTTCTCAGTGCGCTTGACGACGCCGTACCGTGATCATCGCATTGTTTTGGAACGATATTTTTCGATGTTCACGGCCGTGTGTTTACGTAATTTCGTGAACATTTCAATATATACTAAGTGACATATAAATCCGAACACCCAGTTTAAATGGTTTTATTTTAATAAAAGTTGGTGAATGTATTTATCTTACTGTAAATAACAAGTGAAAAACTTTTCAGCCTTATCAGTTGGACATTCCGGTTTTTATACTGCTTTTTTTTTAATTCACTAACGCTCTAAAAATGAATATTTCAGCCGCAGTAAAGAATCAACGTTGGCGGATTTTGGTTCCTGACATCCTTTACGATCGGTTACGATGCCTAGAGTACGGAGACATGTACGATTTCGTCAACTTAGTGAGTTTGATAGGGGCCGTATAGTGGGACTTCGGGAAGCTGGACTTTCTTTTCGGGCAATTGCAGTTAGAGTGTAAAGAAGTGTAGACACTGTGGTTAGGTGTTGTCAGGCATGGCTTCGAGAAGGCCGTACGCAAAGAGCAAGGGGCACTGGACGCCGCCGTAGAACAACAGACCGTGAAGATCGCCGCCTAAGATTATTGGCCTTAAGGGACCGTTTCTCCACTACCAGGTCCATTGCAAATGAATGGTTTGCAGAACACGGAAGACCTATTGGCATGCGAAGTGTTTACCGACGAATGAGAAGTTCTGGCTTGTTTTCATACCGGCCACACTGGGTCCTCCCTTTAACTCGAGAACACCGACGTAATCGCCTTGAGTGGTGCAGACAACGGTCACTCTGGGATCAGGAATGGAACAGTATTGTCTTTAGTGGCGGGTCTCGATTTTGTTTAGGCATGCACGATGGTCGTGCCAGGGTTAGAAGGCGACGTGGTGAAAGGAGGAATCCACAGTTTTTTGTTGAAAGACATGTTCATCACACTGTTGGAGTTATGGTTTGGGGTGCTATAGCTTATGGTTCCTGGTCACCTTTAATCTTCATCAGAGGTAACATGAATGCGCAGCGTTATATCCACGAAGTTCTAGAACCCCATCTTTTACCCTATCTTGACACCCTGGCAGATCCAACTTACCAACAAGATAATGCCCGAAAACATGTTGCAAGAGTCACAATAGACTTCTTTCAACATAATGATGTCACATTGTTACCATGGCCACCAAGATCTCCCGACTTATCCCCAATTGAGCACGTGTGGGATATGATGGGTAGGAGATTGCTCAATTTGCAACGTCCTCCTCAGACTCTAGAAGCATTTCGAGAGGAGTTGGTGGTTGAATGGAATGAGATACCACAGGAAGACATTGACCACCTGATCAGAAGCATGCCTAGGCGCGTTGGAGAATGCGTAGCATATCAGGGTGCATCCATACATTATTAAAGGTCAAAGGGCTTTAAAGCAGTGCAATCATTTTGAAATTTTTATCATTTACTTATTATGCTTCATTAATTACTTATGCAAAATTTTATTAAAATAAAACCATTTAAACTGGGTGTTCGGATTTATGTCACTTAGTATATTTGGTCAAAAACATGAATGTTGAAAAACTAATTGAATTTGTGCGCGCACATCCCGTGCTGTATAACCAGTCAAATTCAAAATACACGGACTTCCGTTTTCTTCTTGTTTCTTCTTCCTTTTCATCCAGAATCATATTAGCAAAGTTCCCCGAAATAATTTTAAAGTCTGGTTTCACTGGTGCAAGTTGTTCAAGGGGGTATTTAAAACATGGACGCAAAAAATGGGTACACCAGTTTTTATGGGATAACTTTTTATGTGACAACAAAGAATGAGAAAAGGTGTTTTTTGGGATTCAATCTAAACAAACTCAAGCATTTCGTATTTGTGAGTAATTGAACTAATGCGCTAGGATATGTAGTCAAAAAACATACGTTACTATACACATTTTAAAACAACGCGGATGTATCTGTCATCTTTTGTTGCGAATTACTCACAAATACAAAATGTTTGAATTTATTTAGAAAAAAAACGTAACCAATCCTTTTTTGCATAAAAATAACGTGTATCTTCAGGAAAGGTTAGCGATTCATATCGGCAAGGTAAACAAGCGTATTTTGCAATAAAATGCCCTTTGAACTAACCCTGCATATTGCTCAATAAATTAGTAGTGATTGCCGGAAAACAGGTGTATTGGGATAAACAATTATAAATTCTCAAAAACTACTTGACCAATCTACTCCAATTTTGTTGTGGTTATTTAGAAGTACGAATCCTACGAATTTAAAGAATTTCGAATATCTGCGAGAAACCATCGTCGCATTACCAACAAGTACCAAAACCTGCAGTTTGCCTCGGTTTTCGGCCACAACTGTTTTGTTATTAGTCGGATCTTTTTACGTGTGGTCTCCGTTTGTAGGTCTCATCAATGCCTAAATAATCTTATTGGAAAAGTTTTGAATACCCTCTTGAAAAACTTGCAGCAATAAAACCAGACTTTACAATTATTTCGCAAAACAAGGGCTTTTTTCGTCTAATATGATTAGACTACTCGCAAAATTTTCCATTTCGACCTGACGTGACCACAACTGCACTGTCAGAGCACAGAGAAAAATACTGACCGGTGTGAATTGAAAACACTGTGAGTTCACGTTAGCGAGAATTACTGGCACGTCACGGCACTGTCACGTCACGGCTGAGTGTGAATAGACCTTTACAGATCACGTATAAATGTAAAGTATGAGACGGATGGTTGCAATTGTCGCACTCAGTATACACTCCCGATAAAATTTACATAATACCCCAGTTACGTTAGAGGATAAGAGATAATGCACTTCTTAAACAAATGAAGTTTCTCATTGTACAGAAGAATAGTATGATGTAGAGGTGGTTAGGATGCCTCTTTCCAATTTGCGCAAAAATACTTTGTGTTTCTACTTTGCAATGCATGAAATAAATCATGTTGAAGTTACAAGGCTTAAATCACAATTCTTTCTCATCATTTTTTACACTTTCGTGGATACAAAGAATTATGGAAGCAACGGCTGTGACCTGTCAGGTTGCTGTT